AAGAGCGCCACGAGCCAATTCACCAACTGATGTCAACCGAACTAGTCACGGAACTGGAGCAATGGATCGACACGATGACCGCTGAATTGCCACCTTTGCGAAATTTCATCTTGCCGGTCTGTCGTTGAGATTATCTCGCATGATGATGATGTGTTCATTTTTTGTCATTGCTCGTATTTCCAGGGTGGTGATCCGTTGTCGTCGCATTTGCACGTTGCCAGAACGGTGTGCCGGCGCGCGGAACGAAATGTCGTTTCACTTCTGGCCACACAAGAGCTCGATCCTGTTTGTATGAAATACCTCAACAGGTTCGTTTGTACGCATTGATGATGATTCCACAACATGAAGCTTTCCAAATTTTCATTTTTTTTGCATTAAAAAAAGAGGTATTGACTGATGCATTTCCGCAGGCTGAGCGATTTCTTGTTCACCCTGGCGAGATACTCATTGTTCCTGGAAGGAAAAACAGAAGTCGTGTACACGAAGCCGTGAAAAAGGTCCCATCGACATTAGCCCTCGGAAATACACAATTCGTCGTTTGTTTTCTAAGTTGGTATGTTACTTGCGGTGGATTGATCGGTGCTGCGATTTATTCCAGGATGCCCGCAAAATAATGTAATGAGGTATCAATGATGAAGGATCTTGAGAGAACGAAGTGTATTCATGCGCATCCTGTCGCAAGATGCTGCATAGAAATGACGAAAAAATATACATGTAATCAAATAAACGATCAGCGTGCGTTTGGAATATAGTTCGCGGTTGTTACCGACAGTCGAGAGCTGCACTTTTTCTTGAATTTTGGTGATCGACAGAAATTTTCGGAAGGATTGGAAAGGCTTTGATTTTCGAACAGCGCTGCGATGAGCGAATAGATTTGCACACTTCTAATGCATCGTCGATGAACCCAGTTGGCCGATGCCCTTTTTTGAAAGCTACTAAATCTCTGGTAATATTATTTCATTAATGTAAAAATCACTTTTGGACGGGATCACGAGAAAATTCCGAAGCAAAAATGAATGCCATAGAACTAAGAATGTCGGAAAGCTGGATCTAGGGTGGAACTAGAGTTCAATTTGATAATTTTGAGAAAACCTTCGTTTCTTCTCGTTTCATATCTACTGTTCAGCCACGGGACAACTCGAATAGCGATATCTCTCACAGTCTTTTTTTTACAACTTTTATATCATTTTTTTGTTTAGGCCAAAATAGTAATGGAGAGATGTCCCATTGAATTTTAGGCACATTGTTTCTTGTCTGGAGGGAGTTTCGATGAGTATATTTATACCTTAGAGCAGTGTTCCCCAACCCGTGGTCCGCGGACCAGCGCCATCCGCAGAACTTTTTTGTGGGTCCGCGGGAAGTTTCTCCAGGCTGATGAATTTTTCACAAGTACCAATGAAGGACTTCACAGTATCTTTATATTCAAAATATTTATCTTTATATTGTACTGTATATTTAAATTTGCATTTCATTACATGTACCATGTTTGCGAATTTTTGCTGCCGCGTGTATTTTTAATTTTTTTTGTTGCGAAAATTGTCCTTGTCTCCTTCGTGGAATATGCTCTCTGTCGCATTTTCTGTATTGTGGCTTGCGGAAATTTTTCCTGATACTGTATGGATACGCCATCTGTTCAGCATTATTAACGGTACCTCACTATTTTACAGATCAATTACTGGAGGGAAATTCACTTTCAAAAATGCATGAAAAACGACGTCTACCGAATGATGCAGACATGTCTGTTGGGACCGACGTTTGGTTCCTGCGTTTGGTACTAGCGTGAGCTGTGCAGAATGGGATACCTCGCGAAATTTACGGAGATCCTTGCGTAAATTTCATCATATTTTTTCCGGCGTGCGGAGCATAAGTTTCAACTCTTGCACAGCATGAATGGCCGAGCTTAGCTTTTATGTTGTACCTTTTTGTGATTCAGCATATAATGAGGTGTGACGGGAAAATCAATTACTGTAGTCCTCTTTTTATTGATATGCTTGTGTTGATTAAATTCATGTGTTGGTAATGAAATTTATATTTTTGCTCAACGGATTAATCAAGGCAGCTGAAGATAGGAGCACTCGGAAATACAGTGTAACTATCGTCAACCTCATTTCGAATTGGTTTTTTTTAAATCTTCGATGGACTTTGTTGGATCACGCTCACGTTTTGCGATTTCTTCGTTCAGGGCACACCCTTAGCACAATGGTTTTTCGTGATCGAGTTGTGCATGAAGTGCCCAAGACGAAGAATCTAGTTTTTGAAGGAAGTTTGAGGAATATGGAAGTGTTCACCACCATGCTGAAGGCCGTCCGCGGACTGGAGGTAAATTCTACGCGTCATGGTCTTTGAACCGTCTTCGCGATGATCAATTGTACATCGGAAGTTGACGCTTACTAAGTGAATGGGGTTTTTCCAGTCGTTGTTGGTGATTGGGAAAGCAGATGAGCTGGTTCTGCGTTTGTGCGATTCGTCGACGTCCCAGGTGGAGCAAGTGATCAAGAAGGAGTCGTTCGTCAATTTTTCAATCACGAAAGACACGTCAGCACCCGAATTGGGCAAAGATGAGCTCATGACGTTTTCTTGTAAAACATCTGAATTGCTGACGTTGCTCACGATGCTGGACAACAGTGGAAATTATCTTTTCGACATCCGTTATGAAGGCTGGGGGGAAGATATCACTTTTGCGTGAGTTCCGTCGTCTTTTTTTTTTCGTGCTCGGTGGTCTTCAAATTCTGAAAAGGCTGAAAAAGATTCAATTACCGATATACTTAACTGTATGTTTACCAGCAAGGAAAAAATTCGATGTAGGGATAATATCTCATGAATAGGGTTTTACAAAATGTTTTGGGTTATTCAACTTGTTTTGTGTAGGGTATTGCGGATTTTTTGTGAGCTATTTCTCTCCCGGATATTTTTCCACATCTACAGTTTCTCTTGGTCTTAATGGTTACTCGGGTAAATGTCGACAAAATTGGCATATCGATTTTTAATTTCCTGTTGTTTGCGAGCCATCTTTCATTTACATGACCACATAACGCCCAATTTTTTTTTCTGGTGCTGCCATCGTCGTATCCGTCTTTATTTTATTTTATTTTTGGCTCTGTGAAATAATTGATTGAGTGATTTTTTTCTTGGCTAGGGTCGGAGATGAAAAGGTGGCGTTGACGACCACATTACGCACAACAGATCCCTCTTCGTTCGGGCGGGTGGCATTTGACCCGATCTCGGGCGAGACGAACACCCTCGTGATGCGGTCTGAGGTCATCGGAGAAGTGATTCGGTGGATGGACTATTGCGTCGACCGCTTCGAAAGCTTCAAGCTCGACGTGAAAGTCTCGGAGAAACCCAGCATAGTTTTCCTCGTCAAGGCTGAACGAGAAGCTTACTCAGTAAGTGCTTGTATCGACATATTGCCACCTATTTTAGTTCTCTGAAATCCCTCGAATCCACCCAAAACCGATTTTGCTTCATTTTGGGTCACATCTGAATCGGAAATTACTAATTTTAAACAGAAAAAAGTGCGATAAGTTGTCGAAACTTGTAGACGAGACTTACCGTCTAAAGTTGCTGTACAATGAAACTTTCGAAATTCTGAATGATGTCATTCGTTAATGGCTGCATTTTTTCTTTTTTTTTTAAGTTCGAGTTTGACAACGACACGTCAATGTTCGAGAGGTTCGAAGTTACGAAAGCGGCCAGAGGAGTGTTCAGTTATACGGTTTTCAAGAAGAGTTTCCGTCTCTTGAAGCGTTCAAAACTGTGTGAATTACGAATCGACAAGAATGGTGTCATGTTGCTCAAGTTTCTCTTGTCCCTCGAGCTTTCACCTGCGGACGATGATGTTTATATATCTTTTTACGTGAGTTTTTTGGTGGTTTTCTCGTGTTAATTTGTGGAATCCATTGAAGGCTTGATTTTTCCTTTACAGTGTCAATCTGTGTTTGGTTCTGAATCTTCGGATGAAGACGCGTGAGCTTCGCCGCTGTCTCGTTTTGTGAACATGTATACTGTATATACTGTATATGTATATATTTTTCTACCTTGCAATTTTTTAACGAATAATTTTTATTTTGGTCTCACTTCTTCTTTGGACAGCTTTAGCTGTTCAAGGGGGAATGCAAAGGAGATGTATGGCATGGATCTGTGTTGTTCTGCTGTTACCTTGCATTTTCTTGAAGACATTAGATTTCCACCTGCTTGCAGTTTTCCAGTTATTGCGTTTTTCGAATGTGGATTGGTGCATCCATCCAGTTAGTTTTATAAATTTTTCAGAACTTCTGTTCCTTGACCATGCCAAATTTGAAATGAACGTTCTGTGCAATAAATTATTTATTCCTTATTTTGCTTTTGGTCTTCAATCTCTTCTCACTGCTGCTGCTGCTCTTGTACATCAAACAATGCCCTTCCATTTGAAAGCAAGAAAAAATCGTTGGTGGTCTGTGTGCCAAGCTACCTATATCCTTTTCTCAACTCAATGACAGGTAATATCAACCCTTTCTACTCCCTTCAATATTATACCGTGTTCAACTTGTCCTCCTTCGAATGCGTATGTGGCACATAAACAATACTGTATTTGCTGTTCATGAGAATTTTTCTGAATGAGCCCCTCGTCTGACGGGATTCTGTGGCTGTTTGTCTCGATTCTGATGATGAAATTTGTTGGGAGGGCGATACTATCTTCAGACTTGCACAGGAGGGCGAATTTAGGGAATTTTCGATAATGAGATCAGTGCTGTGGTGAAATTGTGGGATTCTCGGAAAACCCCGGCATTCGAGGGGTCATGGGATTTTTTTTATTGTACTGCTTGCTACCTGGCTAAGCATAATTTGGTGTACTCCAAGGGCAGTGCACTTCATTGCTCTTGTAATGATTTGAGTTGGTTTTCTGCGGGGTTCTATGCTTAGTGTTGAACTATAAGTGAGGATCGTTCCAGTATTTTGAATTTGAAAATGTTTCCCCAGAGTGGGATTCCACCGTGTGAAATCATCAGACAGTCGTGATTTGAGAGATGAAAATGCTCCTATGATTTTTTTAGATCAAGATGAAATGGGGGGGCTTGTTGTGGAAGTCTGAAGATAATATGCGACGGATTCGTATTAAATGATTTCTTCGATAACGGTGATCATAACGTGGTCATCCAGTTTCGGAGTTCATCAAAGGATAAGGGGTGCAGCGAATTTTCGGCGGTACTCTCGCATGCATAGCAATTGCTCCACATCTTCTAGAAAACTGCTGAACGCGGATTTGTGCTATGTTTTATTTTTTTTTTTTCTGCTTGGTGTTGAAATGAAGTGATGAACGAAACCGTGGCCATTGTTCAGAAGTTATTTCCCCGCTGTGCCTTCGCGATTCTCTTGTGCTGTGATGTATGGAGGCACCATTGTTGGAATGGATCCGAGTTCACCTCTCAGATCGGATCAGGGTTTTTACTTTTAATACAGCTTCTGTTGTTTTTGTGATCATTGTTATTGGCCGCGTCGTGATGTTCTCGTGGACTCGATATCATGCGAGCTCACACTCGTATGGGTCAATGCCATGCGTCGCCTTGTCGCACGACGAGGGGTGCATCAGAAATTTGTAACGATCTGAAAAAAATTCGCATTTTGTATTTAATGACCTGTAAGATTTGTCTAGCGTCAGAGGAAAAGAAGTGTTCCTAACATTTTTCTCTTAAGGAACCTTCATTGGAATAAAGTCCTGAATGTACCTTAGGCCAATACTGCTTTGCAATGTCCTGAATGTGGGTCGACTCTCTCCACAACAAAATTCTCTCAATGTTTTTTTCTAGTCCCCCGAATTTTGTTTTTGAGGCTCCACCAATTGTGATTTAGACAATATCATTGTAGCAAGAGTCTACCTTGTACTGTACAGTATATTTTGAAGAATTCAAGAATAATATGGTGGAGAAAATTATGGAGGCATCATCTTTAAAACGCGATGCATATACCGTATGCGCACCTTTCTTCTCAGATTTCAGAAGAAAAAAAGGGGTGTGCGTCGTAAGCTGGTACAAATTTTTCAAGAAGTTTTAGGAAATTATGTGTGCATTGTGATCCAAAATTATTTTTACGAGCAGCATATGCTGACTCCTATTTTCTCTACGTGTTTGATTGCACCCTGATCTTTTTCTTTCTCTTTTCATATGCATATAGATATGCATACGCCCGTCACGCGCACCTGCTTCGCGGCCAGCCAGCTATCCAGCTTGCTGTCCTCTCGCGGTCATATGTGTGTGTGTGTGCATCTATTCTTTTGGGGCCAGCCAGCAAGTCGCGAACCTGTTGGCTGCCCACCTTTAAAACTCAGTGTACTGTCATGAAAACCCAGGATAGAATTGGTTATTCCAAGATTTGAGGTCGGTAACAAACTTACCATTAGACGTAATAGTAAGCATTTGTTTAAGATTCACCGATTCTTGTATTTCTTCAGGAAATAGGATAACAGCATTATACTTAATTATAATGGAGAAATTTGGAAAAATATAACATGAAAACTTTTTTGTACTGAAAAAGTTGAAAATTGATCAGATTTTTGTTTAATTCATGTCTACAGTCAATTTTTTGTGTCCATTTTCAAAATTTTGTGGTTTTAGATTCACTAAAAATTGGGGTGCGTGTCTTACTTGGGGATACAATTTTAGCCAAATTTTCAACTGGAAAACCCCTGTGTGCGCCTTACTCAAGGGGCGTGTGGTACTCAAGTAAATATGGTATTACAAATATGTTGGACAGATTTAGGTCAAGACCTTTTTCCAGGAATTCTCAAGTTCCTGTTTGGGTGACTCATCCGGAGAAAACATGGCCGTATTAGTAAGTTCATTTTACGATTCAGAACCATCATGTTGCAGAAAATAATTTATGCGGTTGTCGCTTGAATGCTTTGATGATGAACTGACGTGACATGAAAAAATGGATCCGACAACTATGCAGCAGTAAAGACAATCTTTGGATTAAGGAAATTGGGCTTTCAAATGAGAACTGTTCGCTATAGTAAATATTTTTTCATTCAAACAAAAAGTATTCCCTGCATACAGGCATTAAATTTCTGTGATCATCTGCTGTTCGAATGGTCATGTTATAAATAGGGGGACGATTTTTTCTACAACAAAATTCAAGGGACAGGAAAAATTGTAGTTACGAAAATGTCAATGATGTAAAAAATATCTATAACATGGGGACAGAATCCTATGGGGGCCAGACAAAAATTCTTTATACAGAGAAAATCATTGTAGAGGCAGAGTATATACCTGAACTGTATCAGCCGCAGCTAGATGGTGAATCAAGAGAATAAGCGTGAATAATTCGTTGGACAATATTTGGGAGATGAAGTCTGATCTTCAGCATAGAGCCTCATCCGGAAAGCGAATACTGTAATTATGACATTTCTCGGATTTCCGAGAGCTTTTCAAAAATTTTTATAAATCCGCCAGTGAAAATTTTGAAAAGCCCTTAAATATCGTCAAGTTTTATTGTCAGCGGCGGCGAAAACGGGTGTCAGTCGCTGCAAGCGATCAGTTCAACAGGTCGACGAGTGCCAGAGCCACGGCGAGTGCTGCTGTGTGAGACACCTGTGAACCGAGGGCGGGTACAGAAAGAGCATTCGAACCCATGGGTTTGCAAAACGCGTCTCTCCTGATGAAAAAAAACCTTCATTTTTTTCCCCCTTTTGCCTTATTCCTTTCTATTTGCTGCCAGGCCCGCGTGGGTGGGTCGGTCGTTGGTGCAAAAATTCACCTGGCGCAATGCCGAGAAGCGCTCTCTTGGATCGCTTCGGCGATGCCGTCATTGCTAATTATGTCACAAAACATATACACACCACCGGGGTTGTTCCGCGCGTCTGTGCATCAGATGGTCCGCAAAAAGAGTGTGACAAATGCGAGGCCTTGCAAATTTTAGGCATGCGTTTCAATTCTCGGGACGATGAGGTACTCGACGCACTGTACATAACGGACGATGTAAGCTGGGTTTATTGAAGATAATATGTTTTTAGTGCGTTGAAACATACATTGAATATATTTTGTTCAAAACTATAACTGCCAATTCGAAAATGATGACAAAACGTACGTTGAGTGCTGACAGCGTTTTTAGTAATTTTCCAAGCACAAGGTCCTCTCCGCGAGTCTCATTAAGAATATTTATATTGTGCAAAGCTAATAAACATTTACAGTCGTAGAGTGGGGCCCCGTGATACGGACGTAATTGGTGTTGAATTGTCTTCAGGTCAGACCACATTTTCCCTTGGACTTCAAAGGGAACATATTTAATTGGCTCTCCAGCTGATGACCAAAAATTAGGAAAAAGTCCACCGAAAAATAAAATACAAGAATTATTCTGAACTACAAGAGACAGAAAAGATTTGTGCAAAAGAAGAAAATCTCACAAAATCTGATGATTTGGCATGAAAATGATCCCAACAATAAGCACAAGTCTTCCTATACAGTACTGCTGTGTTTCAAAGATTATTGAAAGAACTCTGCAAAAATACAATTAGTCTGTTTTTAATTAGGAATTAGAGTGAAATTATATCAGAATTTATTTCGAGTTTTTTTGAGCATAAATAGCTGAATTTGTCCCAGCAACACCAACATTTTGACAATTAAAATGTTTCAATTTGCTCAGTAATGTTCGTAACGTGTCTGTATCTCGATCGAGACTTGGATGTTGGGTAGATTTTCTTAGTTTCGAGTGCCCCTCAGTAAAATCGTGTGCAGTATATTTCAGTGCCCCACTGTATTTGACTTCGGACATAATCATACCAATTAAAATGTAATTTATGCATAAATATGCCCAGTTGACGTACCATACTTCGAAATCTTGACCATGATACAAATGTAGCTGGTAAATCGCAGCAGGTTGCTTACGGCCAAAAAAAAAGCACTGAAAAATGATTTTGATGACTATCCATGAGATTTTTCATCTGAAAAATATTTTTATCAACCTATAGTCCTGTCCATAAATGGAGATTACAATACACATCGAGCAGAATAATCAATAAAAATAATGATTATAAAAGATAGCGCTGTTTATTTAAAAACAGGTTGAATTCAATTTTTAAAGATGTAGCTTTATTCCCACACAGCAATCCTCTTATTAAAATTGTTTCATGTCGAGGCGTTTTTTATGCTTTCGGAAGAAAAAATTTCTGTAGAACTAAAATGTATCTCACTATAATGAATCAGCGATCATTCTTCAGAATTATGCTGCGTTCAGAATTTCGGAGTGCCGGTATAAATTCAAATTATAGACGCAGATGAGCAACGGTATGTCGCATTTGTCCGAAGAAGAATCGGTAATCACCCTCTGAAAATGAGGTTCAGGCGTCGTGCTCAGTTGACCCAATTTCCTCCCAGCCGAGATTTTCAACCACAGAAATCTTATTCTGCGACGGAAAGCTTCTATATCCCCCCCTTGTAACCTTGCCAGCTTCAAGGTGAGGAACCCGGTAGGACAGCGCATCTGCATTTTCCGCGACGACACCAGCAGGGATGCGTTCCCGACGCGCGAGACCGTGTGCTTGTGTGCTTTCAGGTGTTCCTATAGAGAGAAAGGAAAAGGAAAAAAAAAAAAAAACTTTTTTTTCTTCCTTCCTCTCAGAATTCCGGATATGAAATGGCTCCGTAGTGAATAGTTCGCGTGATTTGAAAAGTTGTTGTTTGACCAGCTGATTCGAGCAGTCAGCATGGGTTCCGTGTGGAAACGGCTTCAGCGGTACAACAAACGCGCCGCGAAATTCAAATTCACGTTGTGTTACAGTGAACTCGATCTAATATGTGCGCCATCTGCCAACTGGTGAGTTTAAAAAAAAAAAAACTTGCGCTTATTACGAGGGGTCGAACATTTCGTCCCTGCATAGAAATTGGAATGGCACACACAATTGTGCTGAAAAGCAATTATTACTGGGGGAAATACCGTGCATTCTCAGGCACACAAAAATAAATCAGCATTGTTGACGCATTTTTGCAAGAGTCTCTCAGTTGCTCTCCGCTCTTCACTCAAAAGATGAAGAGCCCTCATTTTGCAGACTTTTTTTGTGTAGCTCAGCTTCTGGTTCAGAATTCTTAAAATTGACGAGGTATTAATCCCAAGGGTTGCCGCCGTTAATTGATTACCAAGTTTCATCCACAGCCGCCACTTTTGATTACAATGTGGCGGCCGTGAAGGCGACTGTCGATGAAAATGGCGGAATAAGCTCGAAGGACCTGGAACGAGGCAACCCTTGGAATTTTATGTCGTGTCAATGTCAAGAATTCTGAAGGTGAAGCTGGGCTACACAAAAAAAAATCGGCAAGATGTGCGCCTCATCTTTTGGGTGAGGAGCAGCAAGCTGCCACGGTGATTTTTGCTACAAAAAAAAATAAAATAAAAAATACGTCAAACAGGAGTTTTTTTTGTTGCGCCAAATATTTTGTATGATCATTTTTTTCAGCTCAATCATATGCCGTTTCAATTTATATCCGGAGAACTTTTGTTAGACCCCTCGTATTGCTGCATCGTGCATCTATGAAGGGTTTTCCGGAAATTAATCGCAGGCTGCCGAGCAAAATTGCAATTTTGTTGACACGGAGGTCGAGGCGTTTCTTGACCTCATCGCATCCATGGGAACCTTCATTAACGCATCCTTACGAAGGAAAGGTTACTTGGCCATCAGGAGAACTGCAAGAAGTTCTTGTGACACTTTTTCACGATACAAAAAACCAGTATTACGAGGGGAAAGATTGGAACATCGTTATAGAAGAGGTACTTCGAAGCAATTTCATATGCAAGATACCCTGGACCGTGTTTGCTCAAAAATAATCCTCATTGCAATTTATGATGGATGCGCATTTTCAACGCTGTACTTCATGAAGATGATTTGGCGACAACAATTAAATCCCTTTTTGTCAATAAATTTAGAATTTGACCTCCTCTGAAGAAACTATGATGCACCGCATTTTATCAAATATTAAAGCCTTGAACGAAGCGTAATTGTTTATCAATTTTTTTCTTCAAAATTATGTGTTAAAAACAGAAACAGAGTGACTCAATCTTTGTATCTATAAAATCTCAATAATAAAGTACAGTAGTCCAATCATTAAAAGAATTAAACTCATAAGCCTGATGTGCAAAAATAAGCGACCAAATGAGCATATAAATTATAAGAATAACCTGAATAACTGGCTCGACTCACTTTTGAGATAAATTCAAGTTGGTGAAAGGATGTGTCGCATCCATAAATGTACAGAATTCACTAAAATAAGCAACGCAGCTTTTTCTCAGGCTAAAAATAAATTAAAAATAAAGAAAACGCGCATTATTTTGGAGAACACGGTGTGTTACAAAAAGATCAATTTTCGGGAAATAATGAGCAAGTTTTTGGGTCGATGAATCAGACCTTTGAGAAACAAAGAGTTCTTCTCACTTTAGGTGTCCAATCCAACGAAAATCCGACATCTCGGGAATTTCAATCTCGATATGAGTGAATTCGTCACTGGTGCCACGACGGAGCGAGATCTGAAACTAGTGTTCAAAAACTTGTCCAAGAAAATCAAATCCGCGACTCTGAAACTCCATCTAACCTCTGTGTTCCTCAGAGAAGGAAAGGCGACGTGAGCAATGCAAAAAACAAAATTTCCAGACTTGGAATTTCCCTTATTGCTTGAAATATTATGTTTTGTTTAGAGACGAAGATATGCAATCAGTTGCGAGTTTGATGAGCGCCGCTCCACTTGACATCAACCCGGATGATGGCGATGACGAGGATGAGGATGGTTTGTAGTACTGTAGAGGGATTTCTAAAAAAAAAAAAACTGATGTATGCATTTTTTTTGGCATACCAAGAACGTCACTTCGACTTATTTTTAGGCCGAAACTGTATTTTTATCTTAATGGAGCCATTGTCGAGGCATTTGCGCGATAGGTCGAAAAATTTTCTAAGGTTTTAAAATTATGATTTCAACTTCTGAAATGACTTGTGCATTCAATGCCTAAGTATTCAGCAAATTGTACGAATACAGGTTTTATCTAGCGAATTTCTCACACGATATTGTATATACAGTAACTGTACTGGGAATGAAGCAGTCTGAATTAATTTTCATTTGCATCAAAATTCAGCTTCGCGTGAGAATAATTCGAGCAACATCGAGCAGATTAAAACAAAAGTCAAGCCTTCAAGTCCGAATTTAATAGGAGTTTAACGTTTAGTGACGTATTCGATGCTTAAAAGCTCTTGAAGAAGGACTTTTCCGTATACAGTATATTTAACGAGTAAAGTGCAGTATTTTGTATTGGCGTTGCGACGAAACGGATGTTGGGGATGAATAAAAATAATAACAGTATAATTAAAGGGTTGAAACCTTCATTTGTATAAAAATCCAGCTTCTCGGAATAATTCATAAACGTTCAGAATCATCAGGTTCGCTGTGATTGGAAAAAAGAAAACTAGAATATTGTAAATCCCTGTGAATTGTTCTTTGTTTATGGATTTAAAAAATTTGATGAATACATTCCTTTCTTTATATATACAGTACATATGCCACTTTACCTTCGAAAAAAATTTCAGCAATACGGACACTGTTTCATTTTTTTTTTTTTGGTAAGTGGGGTCTAAATGTGGTTCCTCAAAGTTGTGTTTGGCCTGATTTTTTGTTTAAACTAGGACATGTTTCGGGAAAAGCACGGGACAGACACTTCATATGCCCGAAAATATTTTCTCTCTCACGATTTTTGAAATAAAACAACATCCGCAGATGACGCCATCGACGGTGTGAGCGGAAGTGAAGCTGCGACGCTGGAAGAGTGCGGATCGCAAGTGTTCGACGAAAATGCCGATTTATCTCTGAGCAAAGAAATGAAAGCCCTGGAAAAGCAATCCTTGTACGACGAAGATGAGGAAGAAATGTACCGAGCTCCATTCAGGAACTTGGGTGAATGCTTTAAACTCTTCTTTGCCGACTAAAAGTTCTCTTATGTTATTCAAAGTTTCGTTTTCGAAATCCACCACAGAAATTCCGACTGTTTCAACCAGCGTTTTGCCGAACCCAGGCTCGTCAGAACTTCAGCCGAAACCGTACATAATTCCGACGACGGTCGTGGACCTCGGAAGTCGATTCCAACTCGCTGACCCTCAAAAGATTTCAACCCCGAAAAAGTAGAGCTGGATTGCATATACGAGGGTTGTCCCAGTTGGAAGTGACCTCTGATATTTTTAGAGTATGTCTGATCGTAAAAATAAAAAATAATTATTATGCCATAGCCCATAACGTTTTAAGTTTCTGGGATTTTTTTCATATTTTTAAAAGAGTTTTTCGATTTACTGCTGGATGATAAATGAAAACTTTCAAGTTACAGCCGAAGTTCTCTACCTGTGTCATGGAGACCTGAACATTTGTCAAGTGAGCTTAAACTGGATTTTTTTTGCTGTTTTAACCATAATCTAAATTATAGAAAAGATCATGAATAAAATAACAAGAAATTGATTTTTTTAGCTGAACCCTGGCTGTAACTGGAAAGTTTTCAATTGTCATCATGTAGTAAATTGAAACACGTCTTTAAAAATCTGGAAAAATCCCTAAACCTTACAACATTATGAGGTATGTCTTTATCAAGTAGTAGAGCGTCCGCAGTGTGGATGAAAAAACGAAAAAAAAATGAAAAAAATGATTAAGAAGTGGAATTTGAACCCGCGCCTGCAGAACCAGACTGTGACCTGTACACAATGCCTTAGACCACTCGGCCATCCTGACAACTTAATGTGCTGGATGCGTTTTTTTTCATGTAAGACCACAGACACACGTTACACAACGTCCTTATTATTCCCCCCCAGACCCCTGTAGGATCCTACTGGTTGTTCCTCCCACTGCGGACGTTAATTTTCTTTTCAATTACACCCACTCTATAGATGTATCAGAGGTTGCATCCAACTGGGACAACCCCTGTATACAAAATGCCTCTTTTGGTGTGCCCTTGATTTGATATGAATTTTATCAGAAGCGAATGTCAAGATGTGGAGAGAGCCGGGATCGAAATCACCAAGTGTGTTCCTGAAGAGACCCCAGCTATCCTCAAAAATGTAGATGATCCCTCTGAAGACTCCAGTGGAGAACTTCTGGCTTGGAGCAAGTCTGTAACAGCAGGCTGCAACAAACTGAGCATTACGAACTTGACTACCTCTTGGAGAAATGGATTAGGATTCTGCGCAGTCATCCATAAATTCCGCCCTGAACTCATGTACGAAATGCTTCAATTTCTAAACAATCGAACGTAAAATCAGGTCGAGAACCTGAGTATTGTACGCATGAACGATGAAATCCATGATTTTACGGTACCAATATGAGCTTTTATAAGGCTGATTCATTGCGCTCTAAATCTTTGCAAGAGGGGGCTAAATTTTTGAGACTCGATAAAAAGCTATATTCGGCTCATTTATACATTTTAATTCACGAATTTAGGTGTTCAAGGGGATAAAAATAATCCCAGACTCAAGTAGCGATATGTTCAAAAATATGATCGATAAAAGCTGACTTTGGGCTTATCAATGCGTTTAAATCCCGTAAATTATTTGTTCAAGTGCGGGTTAAAACCCAGACTAAAAGAACAATCTGTTTAAAATTACGATTAAAAAAACTTGATTCATTCAAATTTGTACATGTATACATATACTGTACAAATGTTAAGAATTTAGGATCTACTGTTGACCAAATTATTATTAGATATCACAGAGATTCCATGAAATATCTAAAGAACACTCAAAAGTATAAGCGTAAAGAACGAAATTTAAGCCTAAATTCAGCATGCAAAATCTAAAGAATATTTTTCAGGTGTTGGTCTCTCCAATTATTATAATGACGGACACGCAATACGAATATATATAGAGTATATACTAATTTTTTTTCAAAGCGATCGAGTTCGACGCCAATTTTCGTCAAAATTTGCTTGTCTGCAATATGCATATGTCTTATTGAAAATAAGTAAAAAAAATGTTCAGGTCCACACTCACATTGATGCACTTGCGAAAGACAAACATTGTACAATTTTCTAGAAATGGTTTATTTTTTAGTCCGGATTTTGAAGATCTGAGGGCCGAGGATATCAAAGGTAACTGCAAAAAGGCATTCGATGCTGCAGAAAGCCTTGGGATTCCTCGGGTAATCGAGCCTTCGGATATGGTATTCCTTTCGACCCCGGATAAGTTAGCAGTGATGACTTACTTGTATCAACTGAAGACGTATTTCGAGTCTTTCAAAGGTTCGTGTAGATAAATTAACTTCCCAAAATATTCAATGTACAACCCAAAACTGCTTCACAGTCGAAAGCAAGTCAGAGAGGATCGACGAGACGGCGACCGAAGAACCGCCAAATGATTCCTCTTCAACTACCGTGACAACTACTGTAGTGCCAAATTTGAATCTGATCGAAACGCCACTCAATAATAACCAAGAAGACGTCGCTGAACCCGAAACCCCGGCTTTCGTTGAAGAGCAAGTAGCCCAAGACCAGCCGCAGACGGGATCCAACGCTGTTTTCGAGCTGGAACAATTCGTTATCAACGAACAAGCACAGGAAACCAGGTCAAACGAAAATCAACCCGCAGTCCTGCATCTGGAGAACAATGAACAATCCTGTCCTCCTCCCATCATAATACAAAGACGTTTCCCGGTCGGGATAAAAAACGAAGACCCGCCTCCGAAGCCAGTGCGTCGATTCGGAAGCTTTCAGAATATTTCCGTCGAAACCCCAGCTGTTGGGCCCGTGGAAACCCAATCCCACGAACCCGAAGTAGAAATCCCGACCGCAGAAATTGACGCACCTACTGCATCCGCGAACGTCCCAGATGTCGTACAAAGACCGCCACGGAAGCGAACAGAGAGTAACACGAGGATAGTAAAACGCGTAAGCTTTTCTCGAGATGTCGCTCTTAAGGAAAAATTCGTTCAACCTTATACTCAGCAAGGTCCTGAGAACGACCCAACAGTCCATTCCAAAGAAACAAAACCGATCGAAACCGAGTCAAAGACGTCCCACCCTGAACTACCCCGTCACGACTTCGGAACCCCTGAAAACCTTTTGAATATCATAGCAGAACCCTCACAAGTAAAATCGGAATTCGAAAAAGAGAATGCGACGAGTGAAAAACCAGTCCTGATTGTTGCTGATGCTGCTGCGAAAGGATTCGAAGTGGGAAAAACTGAGGAGCCCGTGGAAAACGCCAACATAGACGTTGTTTCTCCCGAACCCGTCGGAAAGGACACGATCGAAATCCAGCACCCTGAAGCAGCTCCCATCTTATTCAAGATTCGAGACAATGCCATACCCGTGATGGCAGCAGACAAAGACGTACCCGACGTCATCAAAACGGTCCCAGTTGCCCAAAAGGTCCTAGAACCCACCTCACGGGATGTTTCCCAGGTAACAGGACCCTTGCCCAAGGAAAAGGCCGCTAGTGTCGGGCCGCAAACGCAACCCGGGATACCCGTTCGACCACGACGACGAAGACCGAGCCAGACGAGTCTCCAGCATTCCCCGGTCATACCCACGTCGCGATCCAGTCCGAGTTTGGCACGCAAATCAGCTACTCCAATGCCGCTTTTCAAGTCCAAGTCTGCAGGGTTCCAGGCCATCAACAACTTGGACTATTTGCCGGTGAGGAAGTCTCCTCCAAAAACTTGCATCGACCTGGAGCAGCCACTGATCATTTCCATCCCGATTGCAATGGTTCCAAAAATGGACGCTTCTGGTGAGTTATCGCTGTATTTACTGGAGTACCTCTCCCGCACTTTTTTTTGCAATAACTCAGCTCACTCGAGAAGTAATTTAAGCCCAAAGATATCCCCGATTACAATTTCCTGCAATTCTCCCCCTTTTCCCCCGATTCAAATGCTTGTTGACCAAACTCGAAACCTCTGTAACTCGAATTTTTTGCATGTCCCCTGAAATTGGACTTGGAGAGGTTCCCCTGTTTTTGAATTTGTTGAGGATACATTTTTATTCGAGTTTGTGGTCAAGAACATGTTGAGTAAATAGGGTATTAACATATTTATTCATGTACTACATGCACCCTTTTTTTTCTCAAATACAATAGGAAAAAGGGTGTCATAAAAATCAGACTCCGGACTTATTGATTCAATGATTCTAGTCTCTATTCGAAAGCATTTTCTTTGTCATCTTGCGGACATCCTTGCCAAGTCTCAGCAGCGAAACTTTCTCAATGCAATATAATTTAAAAAAAAAACCCCGGATTTTTCATTCTAATATTGGCCTTTTGTGCGGGAGCTGATTTTCTCTTTCCTTTCTCGTTGTTATTGTTGCTGTTGCAGGAAACCATGAACTTCAAGATCACAACAAATGCCGTGGAGTAGTGAATGCTCACAAGTTGGAGCTTTCGGACAAGTTGATCGCGGGATCCCCGCGGACCGAGACGGCTACAGCAGCAGCAGGGACAGCAGCAGGGACAGCAGCAGCAGGCTGCAGTCAGGACAGTTATTCCGACTCGAAATCCAAGGGATTTGTCTCGGAGAAAGCGGAGCAATCCGAGCGGCTTCCGCAAGCAACAAAGCCGCCGATCTCGAAGCCGGCCCGTCCGTCATTGGCACTCAAAAAGGAAACGAAGGGACCCGAACCCGTCGATGAGAAATCGGAGGCGGAGAAAGCATCCGTGTCCGTGATCCTGCCCAGCAGGGACGCGGCTGTTTGCTCGGAAGGCAAGGAGCCAATTTACGCCCAAGTCGACGTCAGTCGGAAAACGAAGCCCGAGGAAATCCCGTGTAATCCCGGGTCTCATCAGGACGCCGGTATCGACAGCGTCGCCAACTTGGAACGCGACTTGTTTCACAAGGAGCAAAAAATGGCGACGCTTCAGAAAGAAATCGAGGTGCTCCGGGAAAGGATCGCGAGGGAGAAGATGAAGGCAGCCCTGCGACAGTTCACCAGGCCTCATCAGCCTGCTGGACTCTGCTCCTCCACCAAGGACGGATGCGCCATTTGTCACCAGTTTTTCGCCTACGTCATGGGGAGATTCGCGGACGCGAGGTTCTGCGCCGACCAGGCCTTCGTTTCCGAATTGGCGAACTTGTACGAAAGCTTCCTGCGTGAAAACCCCGCCGTAAGTTATTGTTCATTCCAGGTAGCAGAGGAAATTGGATCAAGTTATCATACAAATTAAATCCGGTACTTTCCTGTTATCTCAGTACCCATTTTTCTTTGTCTCGTGAATTCAGTATTTGTGCAACAAAAAATTAGTTAATCACATTATTTGAAGAGAAAGGGAACTACAGTGGCCCCCTGCCTAACAGACCTCCCGTTTAAGGGATTTTTGCCGAACAGACCAGCTCTGCAAGGAGTTTTTCCTCCCGCCCAACAGACAAAATCTGCCAAACAGACTTCTTTTGGTTTAAAATTAGTGTTGAAAAAGTATTTGTTAGGTTAGGTTAGGTCAGGTTATGTTAATTGAAAGATATTTGTAACTAACATAACCTGACCTAACCTAACTTCACCTAACCGCCTCCAAAAATCAGTTTCAGCAGAATGCAGAAAAATGAAATTCACAGTTTCTGGTAGGTGCACGGAAAGTAGGTACAGTACTGAGACAACAAGAAAGTACATTAAATCCATCACACCATTTTTGGGGGGTTATTCATTTTTCATACACCTCCAACCAACGTTCAAAGTTTTGTAAACATTCATTTTAGATTTGTGTCTTTCGTCTCACATGTTTGTTTATTCCGAAGGATCTTCATCAGAGAACTTTCAGGAGAATTATTACCGTGTTTACTCAAGTACTATATGTGTTCTAAAGTAAGACAAGCACCCAAATTTGTCAGCATAAAATTTTAAAGAAATTCTATCTCCAAGTAAGATTCAAACCCTGCTTTTAATGACTGGAAAACTACAAAATGTCTAATAAGAATCATTGGAATCCGGAATTGGATGTGAATGCAAGTGGAATTCAAATGCTTTTCTTTTTTTCTGCAAAATAAATGTCAGAAGCTTTCAATTATATATCTGTGTGACGCACACCTAAATTTCTATTTCTAACGTTTTTATAATGTTATCCCTGCCAATGACTTTTATTATCTTTCATACGTTTTGGTCGTCGGAATCTCTCATATTTGAAGCAAGCTAATAACTGTACTCTTACAAAAATTAACAAATACAGGTAGACTCTCTGTACATCAATCTTGTCTACAACAATTTTCTCGGTGCAATTTTTTTGTCCCAAGGGTTCTCTTTCCATCTCACAGGTGTTCTCTACACCGAAATTCTCTCTATAAAGAAATTTTTCTGGTCCCTTGAATTTTTTTTAGAGAGAGTCCATCTGTACACAGAATCAAACAAAAATTACGATTTTGACTGCAAGTGTTTTTGCTGAAGTCTTTTCAAAACGTTGCTGAATTTGTAAAATCATTTATTTGTGTTCACCATCAGGAACTTGATCAGTGGGATAGAATGTAAAATCAGATCCTCGAATGTGCGGTAAAATTTCAAAAAAATATTTGCAGGATCAAATAGGATGCAGATTGCATGATGACCTCAGGGAGAAAATGAGGCAAGGCGAAGAAAATAATACACCAGTGAGGTTTCCTCGTTCAAGTGCCGCAGCCAAGCATCGAGCTCAAAGAATGATCGCACTAGGTCGATCTGCTGCTGGGTCAACCTCGGGTAAATGCTTTCAAAATATGTACTGCCAAGAAAAGGAACCTTTCAATACTATACTTGTCATTGACCATTCCTCCATGAGTACTAAAATAGAGCGCTGAAATGTATTCCCGCAGGCAGAATAATAATGATCGGTGATAATTACGCAATTTTTAGAAATAATTTCCGGGATCTCAACAACGGGCCTTGAGGATAACCTAGGTCGGTGTTCCCCAACCTTTTTGGGACTGCTGACTGGAAAATTTCCTCACATTTTTCGCAGATGGGCAGAATTTTTCAAAATACCTGCAAGAAAATCCTCCCAAGTAAAACTTTTCTTGCAACAATAAGTCGATAAGCAATAAAGCAATGTAGTGGAATATCTTCAAAAATTAGAAAGCCATGCTTCGAGAAAAGTTCCACAGGATAAATAATTTGAAATAATTTCTTCCAGCAGGTGAAAATTTGTCCGAAGTGCTGTTAAAAGAAAAGTTTCCTTTTATTTTCCATCAGACAATTTCAAGTGCCATTGTCTTGCCAAAATATCAGATAAGATAACAGACTTCATTATTACTTTCTAAAAATTTATTATGCTGAAAATAATTTCCCTTGGAGTGGCAAAGTACTCTCAAAAACCAGCGTCAGTTTTCAGACCACTGATATGTATTACGTATTTTTGTATTATGTATGTATGTAGGTTATGTATTTTTTTTAGTAACTGCATTAGCAAATGATATTCGATTCTTCAGAATCAAGATTGGTTCTGGCTTTCATTTTGCATAATTTTTCATCGCATAGTATTACGAGAGGCAAGCTACTCATGTACTGTTGGTAGGGAATGATTATTAAATGAACGACTCGTTCTTTCTTCAATCCCATCACATTTTTTGACGTTTCGAGCGACATGCCAAATATACTCCAGGGAACCTAAAGTTTGCATCGTGAAACTTTCTCAAGCCGGAAGGATTTCTTTCGGTTAAATTCTCCGCAGATTCTTTCGCTTTTACGTTCATTCAATTGTGTCTGCTGAACATCCCGAATGAGCCGTGCTCGTGATTGCATGAATGAACAAAAAAAAAAGGGGGGGGGGGGGA